TAGCTTAAAAATTCCTTAACATATAATTTGTTTTCCATATCATCCATGTTGTTATTACAATACGCTTTCTATCATAATTTGTTTCTCTCTTTGTAAACCACTAGCAAGTATTAGTATAAATCAACATATTCTCAGGATTTATGGAAGAGTGAGGTATTCATTATAATTTGACTGATTATAAGATGGTTGGCAGCAGCTATAGAACATTTACAGAGTTCTACTCCATTTCTCAAGCAGATATACTTCCTATGGAAACTATCTTTCCTGGAGCTGTTGCTGGTATCTGTTGCGGTTCCCAGGACATTTGCTATCATCCTCACAGATGATCACAGCATCTCACTTGTATCAGCTGTATCATCCAGTCCCATGTCCACTTCTTCCCAGACACCACTGACTTCTTCTCTTAACCATCATGTCTCCGAATCATTACCTGGCAATCTGTAGACCATTTCACTGTGAGACCCTGATGACTAGTTATGTCTGCTCCCAACTTGTGCTGGCTTCCTGGTTAGCTAGGTTCCTTTGGGTCCTTTGCCTTTAATTCTCATGACCAGCTTACCATTTTGTGACCCCAGTAGTATTCATCATCGTTTTGTGACACTTGGCCCTTGTTAAGACTCTTTTGTGCGGACACCCATCTTCTGAAGCTGGTGGATTTTGTGCTGTCTTTGTTGGTGATACTCAGTTCATTAAACTTGACCTCAGTCTCCTACACCTGCATCTTCCTTCTGTTCTCAAGGATCTCACAGCTGCCCAGTGAAAGAAAGCAGTTTCCCCTTATACTTCACTTCATACTGTGGTGATCAGGCCTATCGCAGCTCCATCTTTCTCAACATCCATCTGTCAGAAACTCAGTCCATGCTGCTCAACATTGGTAACTACATACTGAATCGTGTCATCATACCTCTCCTGAACCCAGTCATCTCCAGCTTCCACAGTGACAAAGTGAAACAAGAACTGAGAAATGTCCTCAGGTGACATAGGCCACTACAAGGAAATATCCCTTTTAAATTGTGATATTAATATTTATTGGAAACTTTTTTAATTTGTTAAGAAGTTAACTCTTCTCAGCTAGTAAAAGGATAGTCTGTGAATACAAAAGATGAAATATGGGAGTTAGCCTTGATTGCCTTCCATCCAGTCTTCCGTCTTTGTCTCCACGTAGATAAGACTAATGCAACTGGTCAAATTTCAGAATTCTGGTTAGAACACAGTTCCTCCAAAGTGACATCTCTGGCTTCCATGTGGGGAAGCAGCAATCCTTCTTCCTTATGATGTTGAAGGACCTTATCACAGCTTCAGTACACACATTCAGGAAACTGAATGAAGTACCACATGACAGCCTATGAGGCAAAGAGAAGGAAGACAATGGGAATGGAAAGGCAAGCTTGAGCACATCAGTTCAGCTCCATTGTTGTTCAAAGGGAGGATGTTGAGCAAACAATAAATCAAAGTATTTAAATCACTCCTAAAACCTTGCATTAAGTTTTCTATTTAATTTCACCATGAGGCAGAAAGAGAGAGAGAATGAGAAAGAGAGAGAGAGAGCGAACAGCAACAAAAATGTTACCTATCACTTTTGAGTCTTTCAATAGTTATATCAAGATGATAGCCATGAGCTAGTGTGGTGGCTCACACCAGCACTAGGGAGGTAAAGGCAGGAAGATCTCAAGTTCAACACCAGTCTGGGCTGTATAGTGAGAACTTGTTCTTAAAAAAACAATGACCATGAAAATTGTTTGTTAGCTGAGAAGAAATGAAATGATTTTTCTATTTCCTTTAATGTCATCTTAACACACTAAGACCTAGGTCTGAGTAACTCACTAGGACATAGATTTTTCCCTAGAGAAGGTCCTGGTAAAACAAGAAAAGAAAGTGGGAAATGATAGAAGGAAATAAAAGAATACATAATCAGGGAAGGTGTGTCTTGGCATTTCTTTGTTGCCTCTGATGAACTATCAAGAATGGACTTTGATCACATGATAAAGCGAGAGCACACATGGAAGGTATGAGGATAGGTAAGACACCCAAAAAACTAGATAGCATTTGTTGCCCTCAACACAGAGAAACTAAAGCAGATACTTTAAAGCAACTGAGGCCAATAGGAGAAAGGGACCAGGAACTAGAGAAAAGGTTAATTGGAGAAGAATTAACTTAGAAGATAATGAGCAAAAACCCTCGGTCCTTCCTATTATTGCTTATACTCTCTCTTCAACAAAATTAGAGATAAGGGCAGAATAGTTTCTGCCTGGTAGCGAGGGGTAAGAGGGGGTAAGGGAGAGTAAGAGAGGGAATGGGGGGAACGGGAGAGAAATGACCCAAACATTGTATGCACATATGAATAAAATAAAAATTAAAAAAAATAAAAAAATAAAATCTTAAACTTAAAAAAAAAAAGAAGAATGACAATGTTAAGAGTCCCCTTTGTGCTCCACAATGAAGCTTCTTGAATGAACTAGCTTCACAGGTTGTCCATAAAACAAACTGTTGAAATACTCTAAGAGAAGCAGGATGGTGAGGTAAAGGCAGGCACTCCCAATTTCCATGTGAGATGGGAAGGCATCTATAATCCTATAAGCTCCCAAAGCAGAATAGAGATAGAATCTGAACCAAGTTAGTGGGTATGTCATGGAGTTCGCAGCACCAAGAGTGAGATGACTGATCTTTGTGGTATGAAAACTTTGGCCAGGTAATGAATGGAGAAAATTCTAGAGACTCATCAGGGGGTCTATAACCTAAACCAAATCTTAGCTGAAACCAAGTGAGAATGGGAGTATTATCCAGCCCTGACCAATCAGAGAAACCAAACTTCAAGCTGTGTCAGAGACTTTAGCATCAGTGGTCATAAGAATTTTCAAAGGTGGAATTACTCTCATGTCCAGTTGTGAGTCCAGCAAGCAGCCTAGACCTCAGAATCCTAAGAACTCAGTTATTTTAGAGAAAATGACTGAGGGATTAATTTATTTATGCATAGAAGCAAGTATATAGACTTGTCCAAATCCTAGCTATTTTTCCAACTATTCAGCACAAAGTGATCCTTAAAAATAAAATGTCAGTTATTAAAGAATAAAAAGTCACAATTTTTACACATATGATTTTATATAAGTAAATATATGTTCCTGCTACAAGTTCATGGTAGAGTAAAGAGAGAATTTGACCCTTGCTGCAAAATTAAATTCTATGGAAAGAGAACTCTGATTTAGGTCTTATGACTCTAAAATTCTCTTTGTATTAAAGTACATTCTCATTAATCAGCCAAAATCATTATATGATCAGTTTTTTTTTCTCTTTCAATATCCAAACTATCTTTTCTCTAACTCCATTCCTTTCTTCTTTGGAGTCTAACCTATCCTCTAAGACCTGAATGCTAAACATTTCTTCTCAGCTGGCTATTATTATGGGAAGTAAATTTACCTGCTAAAATACAAGTGATCACCAATGAGATAGTTCTAAGATGACAAATTCCTTTACTTGAGTGCTTATTCTTCCCACCCCACGTCCATGATAAGTATCACTGATTGATTAAATAAGTCAACAAATAAAATAATCAAAACCTTGTTTTATTTTAAATCAGACTCTTAATGTATAAAGGTAGGAGTGAAAAAGCAGAGGTTCCACAATACAGGTAAAAACTGGTTGATTAACATGGTTGGAGAATATATGAGAATGTGAATCAAGGAGGTATTAAGATATTAAGGAGTAAAAGAGAGATGATGAAAAGGAGAACTGTGAAGTAAAAGTGCTAGGGATACACACAAACTTTTTGATACCAAAAGATAAAATATTATCAAAGCAGTCAACTGTGGCTTTGAACAGCCTAAAACATAGCTGAATTTAAAAGACTGTTTTATATTCCTAGATGGATGAGAGGAATAAAGGAGAATGATGGAGGGGATGAATTCAACTACAATATATTGTAAGAACTTTTGTAAATATCACAATGTACCCCCAGTACAACAATAATTTTTTTAAAAGACTGAGTTTTTGAGTAAGAGTATAGAAAAAAACATACACATAAAAGTCTCTGGATGTTAGTCCCTTCAAACAAATTCCCCCTCAGTCCTCTAACCTCAATCCCCAATTCCATATTCTTCATGTGTTCAGTTCTTCATGAATCAACCCTCTATATTATAATACCCAACATGCCTGACTCTCACAATCACACTTGTCCTAGTCCTTACCATTTAAAATGTCAAGTTTAAACATGTCAGGCTAACTGATACAACTCACAAAGAGTTGACCCTTAAAAGTTTTAGATACCATCCAGAGTTATACAGACCTGGGTTGGACAAGTTCTGTGGCCTTAAATAGTTATTTAATGTCTCTAAGCTTTGTAAATGACTCACCTTTAGAAATGAGGATGATAACTAAGTCATAAAATATTGAGAGAATTGACATAAATAATAAGCATTAATCACTTAGTACAATGCCTGACACATAGTAAGTTCTTACCAAAGACTTTTTAGATGATGACAATGTAACATGATGATGGCAACAATGACAGTCTTAGGAAACTGAGAAAGAAGAAACTAATTTGCCCTATATATTCCATCAGTCTCCTGAAAGCAGGACTTGGGGTCCTATATTTTATTTAACCTCCAGATTCTTCCTATCTCTAGGAAATTAAAAACAAAAGTATTCGTCAAATGTATTACGTGTCAAAAATGATGTCAGAAAAGAGACACCAGCTTTACTACCTCTGTGCATGATGTAGTTGGAACTTTCTTAGCAAGGCCAATATCACGCTCATTTGGAGAAGTGCTCTCTGAGCCAATGGTACTTCTATATAGCACTTAATACTTTTTCTCTAGGAGCAATGCTAGGACACTTATCCCATGTTCAATATAGGCTAAAAGTTCAGGTCACTAGAAATTGACTATAGTTCAAAACAATAAAGAAGCAATAGACATGATGTTTTATCTGTTTTATGAATCCTCTCAAGGTGGTACACTGAAATATTTCTCAGATTCTCAGAACCCTGCCTCCGCTAAACCTCAGGGTCAATGCTCTAGAGGACCAATAAAATCCTTCTGCCTCCTCCACAGCTTCTTCATGGCCATGATCACTTCTTTATTTCTTAGGGTATAAATAGCAGGATTCAGCATGGGGGTGACCATTGTGTATAGCACAGAAATTGCTTTGTCCATAGGAAAAGTCCGAAAAGGCCTTGCATAGATGTAGATGCAAGGGACAAAGATTAAGGTCACCACAGCAATATGAGAGGCACAGGTGGACAAGGCCTTGCTGTGGCCCTCCCATGAGTGGCCTCGGAGCATCACTAGCAGTGCTGTATAGGATCCCAGCAGCACCAGAAAGCACATTAGGGTTACCAAACCATTGTTGGACACCATCAGAAGCTCTAAGACGAAAGTGTCAGTGCAGGCTAACTTGATCAGTTGAGGTACATCACAATAAAAGTTGTCTAGCTTGTCAGGACCACAAAAGGGCAGGTGGATAGTCAATCCAATCTGTACGATGGAGTGGATGAAACCCCCCACCCAGGAGGCTGCCATGAAAAGCATACAGACTGTCTGATTCATAAGAAGCGTGTAGTGTAGGGGCTGAGAAATGGCAACATAGCGGTCATATGCCATGACAGTCAACAGGAAGATCTTGATGCCTCCAATGAAGTGGAAAAAGAAGAGCTGAGTCAGACAGGCACCAAAGGAAATGGTGGGGTTGCCAGAGAGCAAGTCAACCAGCATCCTAGGTGCTGTAATGGAAGAGTAGCAAAAGTCCAGGAATGAAAGATTGCCTAAGAGAAAATACATGGTTGTGTGCAAGTGTGGATCAAAGGTGACTATGACCACAATAAGGAGATTTCCAGTTACAGTCATAAGATACACAGCTGAGAAGACAACGAAGAAGAGAAACTGAAGCTCCCATACCTGAGAGAGTCCTAGTAGGACAAATGCTGTCACCTGGGAATGATTTGCTGGATTCATCTGCCTAGCTGTGGCCTGGAAAATGAACCTACCAAGGAAAAATGAACACATTCATCAAGGGATCTGCAAACTTTTTGAATACAATTTTTGGGAATTATAATTCTTGGGAATTCTCTACTATTTCATTTACCATAGAAGAATGTAGTAAGTGGTTCTATAGGACACCAACCATGTGAACATCACACATTGTTGTGATAAAAAAAAAAGAGAGAATAAAACTTGGGACAGGACTGATAATATTTCTAGCTTATGAGAATGGAAAGTAATCAGCTCTCACAAGTTGTGAAGATACAGTTGGAGGCATGGCAAGCACTAGGCCCCAAGTTTAAACTCTAGTGCAGCCAAAAAAATTGAGAAGATATAAAAATTGCCAAAATGAAAATTAATTTCAGTCCTGCCAGTAACTAATTGAGTAAGCAGCAACAATCTTCTGAGGTTCTGAAAGCTTCACTTCCCCCATCTATGATATAAAATTAACCAAATGTCCTCAAAGTTTCCTGTAGTTTAATTTTTCATATTATATGTGGCCTTAATTTAGAAAACTTGATGAATCCTTACACATCAAATGTTTCAACAGTTTTCATAGGATAACATAGTTATTATTATAAAATAACATAAACATCAAGTTGTTCATCATACCCTTGAATAAATATTAAGTTGCTTGCTGAGATAGCTCAGAAATTCTAAGTTTTTTTAGCATTAAAAGTATGCTAAAGTCAAAAGCAAGAGAAAAAAAAACAGAAAATGATGTCCTTACACTTTATAAGGGAAAAGAACTACTATTTTCTCTAAAACTCAATTTAAAGAAAAAAAATCAATTTTAAGAAAAAAAACATGAAAGAAAGCCAGGCATGTCACCATGTCCATAATCCCAGCACTCAGAAGGCAGAGGCAGGAGTGCTGACAGTTGAGGTCAACTTGATCTAAAGAATGAATTCAAAGCCAGCCTGGGCTACATAGTAAGAACCTGTCAGAGAAACAAAGAAAGGAAGGGAGAGAAGGAGGGAGGGAAGAAAAGAAAGAAAAAAGAAGATAAATGAAAAGAGAGAAAGCATGCAAAAGAAAGATTCCTCGTTTGTAACTCTGGGAATTTGAGAGCAACTATATTCTCTAGGGAAATACAGAAGAGGGCAACTAGAATATTGAATGCCCTGGAGAGTTTGAGTATCAATGCTAGTTTCAAGGACATTACCTAAGGAATAATTTTTTACTTATATGCAAAGCAACAAGGGGAGGCTATAAATATGAATTGAAATTTCAGCAAAAGATGATGGCACGTGCCTGTAATCCCAGCATTTGGAAGGCTGAAGCAAGAGGATAGCAAGTTTGAGGCCAGCCTGGGCTACACAGAAAGTATATATACTTTTATACATAAGAGCATTATATATTTATATCAATTAAAATGACGTATTATAGAAAGAGACAAATGAAACAGAATGAATATATAAACAGAGAAGTGAAGATGAGCATTAGAAGCACTTTCCAGCTCAGAATTGAAGCAGCCAGGAAACAACGTCTCAGTGAAGTAGGTGACTGAAGGGATGCACTGACATTTAATATTGGACAGAGGAACCTGGAGAAACCCAGAGACTCTGGTTATTGGAATAGAGGGCAAGAAATAACAAATCAGCACCACTGTGGTGGTGAGGGCTAAAGAGAGGAATAGCAGAAAGGAAAAGAAGGACAGACGCAGTGGTCAAAAAGTGACATAGAAACAGAGGTAGAATAGAAATGCAGCCTGAACGTAGGTGATCTAGGAGCTGCATAGTGTTCTGCTGCTTAGCACTGCTCTGCATTTCTCAAAGTAAAAGTGTAGTACTGTAATCGGGAGCCATCTTGAGAAGGTCATCCCAAGCATGCTTCTTTGGGAAATATACATCCCTACATTTTTCATTCTTTGAATCCACAGCAGTATTGTCATGCTGTTCATCAGTGGATCTTGTGGTCCACTGTGATCCCTCCAGAATTCAATTGAAGTAAGCTCATCATTTTTTAAAAGTCACGAAAATTCCACAGCCTTTGTTCTCTGTAAGTGATTCATAGATCAAGAACCAGAAAGAAGGTCAGATTGACAGGTAATAAATATCTCCTCTTGCCTGCATGACCACCCTAATGGAGAAAATATCTTTCCTTCTTTCCTTCCTTCCTTCCTTCCTTCCTTCCTTTCTTTCTTCTTTCTTTTTCTTTCTTTCTTTCCTTCTCTTCCTTCCATCCTTCCTTCTTTGTTTTTGGTTTGTTGTGGGGATATTTTGTTTTGTTTTTGCTGGTTGACTGGTTTATGTGCAAACTTTTTAATATACATTTTCTTTTTATTACTATCTATGGGAGTTTTCTTACTACCATCTCCTCACTTTCTAATAGTCAAATTCTCTCATTGCATTCTTTACTTTCCTCTTTTCTGCTGCTTTTTCCTTCTCACTTTTTGAATATTTTAACTTTTGTTTTTCCATTTATCACAGAACAGAGTCACTGCTGAATTTTATCAGATGTTTAATGAAGAACTAACACCAATGTTCCTTGAACTATTCCATGAAATAGAAAAAGGAAAAAATGCTTCCAAATTCATTCTATGAAGCCAATATTACTCCGATACTAAAACCAAATAAAGATACAAGCCTCTCAAAAACAACAAAAAAAAAACTGTAGCCAATATCCTCAGTGAATATGATTAAAAATTTTTCAGCACAATACTTGCAAATGGAATTCAATGTCACATTAAGATAATGCACCATGATCAAGGTGGTTTCATATGGTTCAATATATGTAAATCAATAAGTATAATACAGCACATAAATAGAATCAGGACAAAAATCACATGATCATCTCAATACATGCAGAAAAGCATTAGACAAAATCCAGTATCATTTCATGATAAAAAGCCCTAAAGAAACTAGGTATAAAGGATCATTCCCAAATATAATGAATGTATATATATATATATATATATATATATATATATATATATATATATATATATGAAAAGCCCAGAGCCAGCTGAATGGGAGAAAAACTGAAAGCATTTCAGGAATCAGGAATGAATATTGAAATTTTACCCAAAGTAATAAGGCAAGAAAAAGAAATAAAAGGGACACCGGTAGGAAAGGAAGAAGTCAAATTATCCCTATTTGTAGACAATAGTCTTAGATCATAAAAACTCAACCACAAAACTCTTAGATTTGATAAATTCATTAAAGAAGAAGGATACAAAATAAACATATGAAAACCAGTAGCCTTTTGTACACCGATAATGAACATATTGAGAAAGAAATCAGGAAAACAATCCAATTCACAAGAGCTTTAAAAAGAATAAAATACCTAAGCATAACCATAACCAAGGAAGTAAAAGACCCCCTCAGTAAAAACACTGAAAAAAGAATTTAAAGAATACACTAAAAGATGGACGGACCTGCCATGCTCATTGGTGGGCAGAAATAATATTGTTAAAATGGTCATATCACTGAGAGCATCCTACAGATTCAATATAATAATCAGCTTCAAAATATCAATATCAGCCAGGCACCTGGTGGCTCTCCCCTGTAATCCTAGCTATTCAGGAGGCAGAAATCACTAGAAACACCAGTCCGGGCAAATAAATCTGCGAGACTGTCTTGAAAAAGCCTTCACAAAAATAGGGCTAGTGGAGTGGCTCAAGTGAAGGTCATGAGTTCAAGCCCCAGTACAACAACAACAAAAAAATCAATGACATGCTTCCCAGAAATGGAAAAAACAATCCTAAAATTCATGTGGAAGCACAAAAGAAAACTCAAATAGCCAAAGCAATCCTGTGCAAAAAGAGCAATCCTGTAGGTATCACAATACCGAATTTCAAATCATACTGCAGAGTCATAGTAGTTTAAACAGCATGGTACCAGCACAAAAACAAAACACATAGACCAATGGAATAGAATAGAGAACCCAAAAACAAAATCACACATCTACAACCACGTGGTTCTTAACAAAGGTGGCAAAAGCATACACTGGAAAAAAATACACCTTGTTTAACAAATGGTGCTGAGAAAACTGGATATTCACATGTAGAAGATTAAAACTAGATTCCTGTCTGTCATCCTGTACAAAAAATCAATTCAAAATAGATCTTAATGTAAGACCTAAATTTTGAAACTACTAGAGGAAAGCACAGGGAAAGCACTTCAAAATGTAGACATAGGCAATGTCTCTTTGAATTAGTCTCCACAGCTCAGGAAATAATAGCAAGAATTGACAAATAGGGTTGTGTCAAATTAAAAAGCGCCTCACTATAAAAAGAAGCAATTATCAGAATGAAGAAACAGTCCAAACAATGGGAGATATCTTTGCCAGCTATTACTTAAGGCAAGGTGTTAATGTCCGAGAATAGATAAAGAACACAAAATATCAAGCACAAAAAAGAATAATAATCTAGTCAGCAAATGGGCAAAGGAGCTGAGCACCTGTAAGTATAAGGAACTTCTTTTCCAAAGAAGCACAAACGGCCAATAAACACACGAAAAATGTTCAGCATCCTTAACCATCAGGGAACTGAAAATCAAAGCCTCATTGAGATTCCACCTCACCCCACAAGAACAGCTATCATCTAGAAAATAAAAATTAAAAAATGCTGGTGAGGATGTGGACAAAAAGGAGCCCTTATACACTGAGCGTAGAACTATAACTTATTGCTCTATGGCAGTTCCTAAAAAACCTAAAAATACAGCTTCCATATGATCCTGTTCTACCACTCCTGAAAGAATATAAGTCCAAACTAGAGATATCTGCACACCCATGTTTATTGCAGCACTAGTCACAATAACCAAGGTATGGAATCAGCCTAGGTGCCCATCAATCAGTGGGTGGATAAAGAGAATTTATATAATATAAATTATATATTATATATATATATCATATACATATATAATACTCTTACCGTACATATATATATACATATATACTCTTATGTATATATGTATACATATATACTATTAATATATATATATGTACAGTAAGAGTATTATTCAGCAATA